AATCCATCACATAATATTTTGGAATGTGATGGTTTCTTAATTGACTGTTGAGCATTACATAAAACAGTCTGTAGTGTTGATGTCATCTAGAAACAAATCCTGGAACAATTTTACATCTGAGACTGACCAAAGGTCACACAGNATTGATTACTAGAAAATAGGGATGTAACGATACCAAGAACTCACGGTACGATAATATCGCGATAACAAGTCCACGGTACGGTATTTATCGCGATATTGATTCAATATCGCGATAAATACCGTACCGTGGACTTGTTATCGCGATATTATCGTACCGTGAGTTCTTGGTATCGTTACATCCCTATTTTCTAGTAATCAATTAAAATTACCGATTTTCTCAGATAAATACTTGTCTTGTATGTTTGAAACTGTTGTGATTATTTTTTAAATATTCTTGCTTACACACACTCTGATGGGATGTTTTTCCTACATCCTGTAGTTGAAGCAGGTACTCCTATCCAGGGTAACGATGAGGTGGAGAGGAACCTGGTCCTGGTGGAGCAGGTGGCCTACAGAAATGGACTTTCACCAGAGGCCATCTCTATTATGCTGGAGTTTGCCATGAGCCTCCGCATGGGTAAGACATTCACTTTGCAGCAGATAAGGTTTATTGTAAACGCCAATTGTTAACCATAACCTGAAGTTATGGCACACAATTTGATTTTCCCAAAAGTATAGGTACACCTGTGCAAAAGAGATTATTGTACAAGTGTTACTGTCAGTAATAAGATGTGCTTCTTTTAACTGACTTGTTTCTGTGAATTTATTTGTGTAGGACATAGCCTTTGTCCCCGGGTGCTGAAGTGTCTTATACCCGTCACCGTGGTGCCACAGGAGGCTGTTGTTCGCGGTGTGTCCTGGCTCGGAGTTGGCAAAATACCTGTCAGCACACAAGTAAGTGCAATTGGATTTGTCTAGATTCTTGTCACCATTTTGCTGTATGAGTAATTTAGAAGTATGTTGGTCGAACATACACACCTTTACCCTCAAAGAATAACATCAATTTTACAATTACTAAGGTTATGCCATGAACTGTCTTTAATAAAAAAGGATGTGATTTAAAACTATTGCTCTCGTGTGTCTTTCTAACAATATAACAATTTTGTCAATTGAAAAAAGAGGTTCTGCTAAAAAGAAAATGATAATTTGAGATAAGAGAGTTACATTTAATGTATGTTAATAATGTATGTATCGTTCTTGAGTTGCACCCCAGTTAACCCATTTGTATGTTTACGTTGCATTTACTACTTACAGGTTCTTTTCATAAAGTGGGTGTTAACCGTCTTTGACATGATTGATGCAAAAGACCAGCTTCGAGCTATCTATGGCTTCATCTTCAGCTACGTCTCAGAGGAAAATCTGGTATGTGTGATGATTATGCTTTTTATAGTCAGATGGCACCAAAGGGAAATTGTACACGTGCACACACATCTCTGAGCCCCGAATTTAGGTTCACTAATCTTATTTGTCATGGTGATTTTTAAACAAATTTGAAATGACAAGCGCATCACTGTTTATGAATACTCTTCCTTGTTCAGGAAACATAAATAAAGGTTCGTTTCTGCCTGACTAGATAGATAATGCGTTTATCAGGCTAAGGCCGACATTACAATCATCATTTGTGATGAATGTAATGTCCTGTTTGTTCAAAACTGAACTACTGTCTTCTTACCAGTGTAAGTAAATGAATGCTGCACTGTAATCATTATGTGATATTGTTTCCACTGAAGAACTTCTAAGATGTAAAGTTGATATTTTGTCACATTATTTCAGTGTCCTTACATCTGCCATCTGCTGTACCTTTTGACCACAAAGCAAGCTGGTAAGTCTCACATGTTCACACCTGAAGAGTCTGTACTGCTATTGTTTCACAAGTACTCTGCTATTTCCTCTTTTCTGTATCACTGTATTGTAAAAAATAATGTTTTTTTTCTCTTGTAGTGCGAGTCGTCAGAGTGAGGAAGCTACTGGAGCTACAGTCTAAACTGGTAAACACTCTGCTGATATAATGCCATCTAAAGCTATTTATAAAAAAGCTACATATTTATTAGCTAACTAAGGAGGAAACTATGTTCATAAGATATCCCAGGAATTGTCTTTTGCTCAGTACAAACAGTTACCCTTTCAATAGAGTTGGTTATTGTTAGATTCCACATTATCAAGAACCATCAATCAAATATAAAAATGTCAAGTACAAAGATGTGCCATATTGAGTGTGTTGATATCGTTTCCTCAGGGAAGGCAGCCGTTCCTGCTGAACCTACTGTCCCTTTACAAGGTGTTTTGCCCTGAACTGGTGACGCTCTCCATCCCATCACGATCTAAGGTTTGTACACGATGGAACAAGCATGTGATGCTCATTATGTGCGTATAATAACGTGTGCGGCCATCATCCCTAAAGCCCCAATGAAACTGTATGTTTTCTGTTATCTTACAGAGTGTGTTTAAGAACCACAATATGCCCTGGAAATCAGCTTTTTTTGCCGTCCAGAAGAGGAACGGTTCCCAGGTTGCCTCCAGCATCACCCTGGCCTCCGCATCGAAAGATGGGACCAACCGCAGGAAACGGGTATGGGAGCCTTTCCACATTGTCAGATGCAATCACTCCTGCTACACTACAGTTACTGCTAGGGATGGGTATCGTTAAGGTTTTAACGGTACTACTACTTTTATCGATACCGCTTATCGGTCCGGTCTTTTAACGGTACTCTTATCGGTTCTTTTGGAGAAAAAAATAAGATAAACAAAATTAACATTGCTTTTTATTTAAATTAAATACATAATATTTCACATCAAAAGAAACAACAATGTTTTAACAAATCGTATTAAATAATCTGATGACAGAACTGTAAACAGAATAGCTGAAACTTTAACAAAATAACTAACTCTTTTACCTCTAATCATTAACCCATGTTTGAATAATTAACTCTTAACTCTGGGTGTTGCTGCTAGCATACATAACACCTGACGTGGAAACGTTACTCGTGGATGGGGCTACAGAGCTACTAGAAAGACAGTCGAACCCGGTGCATTCCTCCGTCTGGATGTGGTGCACTTTTGCTAAATGTTTAGACAAATTGCTCGTGTTACCGCCCTTACATGCTAAACTCTTATTGCACTTTTGGTAACGAGGATTGTCCACATCGAGACGGGTAAAGTTTAACCACACCTCGGAGCGCGTTCTCTCCGCTATCTCCTCCGTGTGTGTTGCTGCATATAGCAGCTGCGTGTGTGTAAACTGCCCCGCCCCCTCGCAAGCAGGCGGGGGACAGAGAGATCTCTCGCCTGGATTGGAAAGATCAAAAATACTAAAAAGACGCATTTTGCAGTCTTTTTGCGTATTAGAAACAGAGTTGGCGACACTAAAACTGCAATATAATGTTTGTGTAGCAATAATACA